TCTGGTTCTATAGCTATGGATGGCAACTGGTCTACCACATAAAGAAATGGCAAACTACTGCGGGGAAAAAATCTGCCTTGTCAGTCATGTATCGAAAGATACATGATCACCTAAGCGTGTATCACACATGGCACATAACTGACTGACTGACGAGTCCACCATTTGTCGAAGCTTAGAATACTGTCCAGCACCCCTGCTATTTACCTTGAGCTCCTTGATAAAATCTAAAGAAATAATCAGCAATATTGCCTCTCTGTTCCATTTCTATAAATATTTTCATAGTAATTGTTCAAATGATTTCTTCACTATGGTACCTAAACTTTTTCAATTTAAACGCAGTACTAGACTGGTAGTCAAGATTTCATCAATTTACAGTATAGCTGGTTATATGTAGCCATAAGTTCTATGCTAACACTTTCTTTTCTCACAATTATCACTTGTGAAACTCCCTTCTGGTTCCATGCTTTCCAGCCAAATTTAATGTCCAAAAATTTAAATGTAATGTCAATGACTATCTACTTTTCTGATTACTCTTTTCTCTTCTTGCTCATTATTGATGTTTTTGTTCCTAATTCTTCCATACTCAGTAACTCTCTGTGTCTTAGAGAGTTATAATAATACCAGTAAATGTAAAGAATATAATCTTATATCTATAATTCTCAAAATGTGTGTGTGTGATCGGATGTTGTTTATGCATTTCCAAAGTTTTCATCAGATTTTGATGAAATTTTTTTGTTTGATAGATAATTCTTCAGTGCTGGTTTTGAGTCCAAATTGTTGGTGACAATGGCTCTCCACTACTTCCTATCCATTATAACTCTCAGCAACGTTTTACTATTTACTATCTGTTTTTGGATATATATCTTTCATAAAAACTTTAATAAAAATAAATAGTTTAAATTATTGCAATAATATTATTTATTATTATACAGTTCCCTTTTCAGGGCCACTCCCCCCATTCAAATTGTTAACCCCCCACATTTGGGGATGTGCCTCAGTTGCACCCAAATGTTGTTACTAATACTGATTAACGATCTCATATATCATTCCAAAACTTAAATAAGGAAATGCTTTTCAAATATTTAATAAGATCCCAAAAATGTAACATTGACACACACACACACACACACATCAGTAATGCCTGTGCAGGTTTTAAGGTTGGATACAGATTGCACAGTAATGCATCAACCCTCACCACAAAAAAACACATTGTCCTGAGATAAGCAGTTGCAAGACATCTAGTGTGGCCATGAGGCAGGTTTTTCTCTTAGAGTTTCCTTCTCCTTGGAGACTGCCAAAAAGCTTGGAAGGTCCCAGGTAGACCTGGTGGGGAAACTGGTTTAGTCATCAATTGCCCCACCATGCAACAAGTAATACTGATGGTAGTAGGTTTGGGGGGGGGGGAGTTTAACTGAAGGGGGGAGTTTAACTGAAGGGCTGGACATGTCAGTGATGGTCATACTTGCTTTGAGTCAACAACCACCATATATATTTAAACATATATTGTTAAATATAACAGACAATGAATGTCTATTAAGTTTAATCATGAGCCATTCTAAACTTCATATGGTTGCTTTAATTTAGGGTGAAAATAAAAATTGTCTAATATTGGGATATTTTTTTTATTAAGCTGTTACTTGATCTAAGCTTTCGGATTACATGAGCCATCTTCAGAGTAGTTATACAGACATTTAAACAAAGATATTCACCATCAAAGATGATATTCTGCTATGTTGACATAGAAGATTGCTATGTGATGATAATAATTGCAGAATAGCACACACAGATTGTAAATGCATGATGCGTGTCTATGACATTGTACCATGTCAATGTGAGAGACCAAAATATTAACAATAGAACCATATGTCAAAATGCAATGTAATGTGTTGTGACTAGTTTGAAATGTAATTTTGTTGAGTGTGGGTAGTTTTGTTTTGATGTAGTTGGTCTCCAATATCTCAAGGTTCTTTTTACTCTGTGTGTGTGTGTGTGTGTGTGTGTGTGTGTGTGTGTATATATATATATATATTCTTAAAAAGAATGTATTTATTTTTAATTTAAATTAAATAATTTAAATAAAAATGGGGCATCTATTTTGAAATAAGAGTATCCACTAATAATAAAATTTGAAGTTATATATTTCAATCATGTTTGGCTGAATAATACAAGTTCTGTCTCTCAATTTTTTTTTATTAAATTTTAGCTGTTTCATGGTCATATTTGTTTTTATGCTATTTTTCCTTGAGTACTTTTGAATGTTGCTACATTCATTTTCAATAACTTAATGCTGCTGGTCAAATCCAGCTTACTATGACTTTTCATCCAGTCTTCTGACCATATAAAATATAGTATTTGCTGTGACCCCTCAGGATGAAAGCAATCATGGCTCTCCACAATTTCCCGAGTTTCGCAACTCTAAATACATTCTTTTCATTATTTCTAAACCCTATTCCTCCATCCATTTTTTCGAGTTCATCAAAGTATGTTATGCATTGTTTTCCTGTCTCTCTTGCCCTCAATCCATCCTGTGAGTAACAGATTTTCCAAGCAGTCCTTTCTCATTATGTGCCCCAGAAATTAAAACTGGCCCTCTCTTAAGTTTTCTTTTTGTTTCCATTTTCTCTAAAACCTTGTTCAGTCCTCAGCATCTTTCTGTAGAACTACATTTCTGTTGCTTCATGTCTTTTCTTTATCTCATTCACTGTCATACAATAGGATAGATATCATGTAAAAGTTCAGTACTCTTTTGGATAAAAAGTCATTACAAGCTGGATTCGACTTGTAGGCAATAGTTTCTTGACCTCCTCATATAGGACATAAATGGCTGAAAGCTAAATGTTATTTTTTTTCAGTTCTAGAATTAATGAATAGAATTTTCAGTTTGAACATTTATTTTGTAACATTTGAAAGTTAACAACTGGATCAATAATACATAAAAGTACATTCTTCATTTCAAAATTGTGACCAAACAGAATTTATGGAAGTTGCCAAAACAAATAAAATAGTGACAAAATTGACAATAAGGAGGAGTATACTCAATGTGAGTTCTATAATATAGATAGAGTTGTGCAATAGGTTCTGCAACCAGAAATAATACATTTTTTCTGCGTTTTTCCATATTACTATAAATTAAGTACTCCAGATCATCATTAAAAAAAAAAAAAAATTATTACATGTTATAAAACATTTATGGTTTGGTGGTCTAGTTTGTTATGTAAATTCATTATAAATTGATAATCCCGTCAAAGACAAGACCAAAGATACTAATACTGAATGCTTTCTTAAAATTTTAAAAATAAGTAAATTTTAAATTCGTAAAAAAAAAAAAAAGTTCTATGACAAGTAATTAATCTCTCCAGATAAAGAATTTCAAAGAGAATTTTTATTTTTTTTATATTTCAAGAAATCATGTCCTATAAGAATATCTGTTTTGAGCTGTACTTGGATCAATTAAAATGAATTTATATAGCAAACTGTGTACCTACCTATTAACATTTATAAAATTATAAAATTAAAAAAAAAAACAGGGAATATATGGAGGGGGGGGATTCCAGGGTTTCAGGGAACGGATGAGAAAATCTTTTTTTCTTATTTACAGAATTTGGAATTAATCATGAGCCCATCATTATTTACAGAATTTGGAATGCATCGTTAGTGTAAAAAAAAAAAAAGATGGTATGATGAAAAAACACTTAAGTTTCACATTTCTCAGAATAATAATCAATTTAAATGACTTGACCTTTTTTGTTTATTGAATTACAACACCCTGGCATTCTTTTGAACTGTTTGTTTATTGAAGTCTGCTTCAGTTTATTTATTTAATAATTAGTTATGAATTAACAAATTACTGTACATGGATTCAAGTTTAAAAATCCATCAACATTTTCTATTGCTATTCAGTCTGTAAAACTCCTCTATAAAAATAATCCACGTAAATGTCTATGTACTTATATGGAAAAGAATGAAGATTTTCAATAATATATGCATATTATTTGGAATGCACCTTTTGAGTCAGACAATCTTGAAAAGTGGGCGGGGGATGACATTATGACTTATGGTGAAAAGGGTGCATTGTACAAAAAAGAATGAGAATTACTATTCTATAGTTATTTAAAAAAAATCTAAGGATTGGCAAACATGGACTTTCATACCCACCAAAAAATGGAGTGTCAAAAGTACAATTTTTCCCATGACAACACTTTTATTTTAACTACTCAGAGGCAATGTTTAGTTTTTAAAAAGTGATGATTATAAATGTAATAAAACCTAAATATATGATGAAAGTGAATTTAAAACAAAAATATTAAACTTTGATTGTTTATTTACAAGAATAATTTTATATTTATAACATTCTAATAACTAATACAATTGTATTAAGATTAAATGCTTTGCAGTATTTATCATTTACCAATTTCTAAAGAAATGTATATGAAAACAATATTTTATTCATAACATTTACTAAATTATTAAAATTTGTGAACCAACTATAAAGAAATCCTTATTATTTACCATTTTATAAAGTTTGAATAGATTGGCAATTAGTCAATGTTTTGCCAACTATTCCAGCAAATAATCTAATAAATAAAGTATAAATCAACAATCTAATAAATAAATAGTGTTTATTATTTTTATTATCAATTCTCAAGAACAACAAAAATGTATATATTCACTCTCACATGTTTAGGTTTTATTAAAATTCTAATCATCACTTTTTAAAACAATATTGCTGAAGAGTGAAGGTAGTTAAAATAAAAGCAGTGTCATGAGAAAAACTATCCTTTTCACACACCTGTTTTTTTTTTTTTTTTTTGCAGGCACAAAGGTCCATGTTTGTCAAAAGATTATTTGTGGTCACATTGCCTATTGTACAACTCCAGCAAAAGACATTCTGTTATACAATTCATTCAAATATTGACCATTATATATTGTTATTAAAAGAGGTATTTCCTTAGACAACAAAAGTCAGACTGAAAAAATGAGGGGGCAAAAACAAGACTAACTTTTGATGTTGTAGAATTGCGTCTAGCTTGAGTGATGAGGTTCTTGGAGAATTCACGCCAACTTTTGTATTCGCCTGTGACTGACTCAAACCTTCGTTTCCAATACTTGCCCTCCATAACCACAGCCTACAAAATAAGGATAATTTATGGTCAGTCAAAGATATTTTAGGGCCTTCACAAACGCTTATATAATTCATGGATAAAAAATTTATGCAGCAAAGTCTCATCATTTTACAGTAGAAATGACTCGATGTAACCATAAATTCTATACTAACAGTTTCTTTTCTTGCAATTCTCACTTGGGGTACTCTACTTCTAGCTTCTTGCTATCCAGTCAAATTTGATTTTCAAAAACTTAAATGCACTGTCAGTTACCTTCTGTTTTTCTAATTCTTGTTCTTTATTGTGCACTCTTCCTTAATAGTAATTTTTCTAATATTCTCTAACCCCTTGAAACCTAGTGGCTTTATTGCCTTGCTTGGGATGAAATGATTAAAAAAAAAAAGTGCATAAGAAAATATTAGTACAAGTACAAGAGAAGATGGCATAAATGCAATATCAATTGTTACCTTCTGTCTTCTTGGTTCCTGTTCTTTTATTGTTCTATGATTTTCCTTTTCTTATATTCTTTCATACTCTGTAAACTCCACATCTATTTTTTTTTTTTTAATCATTTCACCCCAAGCAATGCAGGGATGCCACTAGTATGCAGGGAGTGAAAATGAGAGAAAAGACTGACTATAAGGAGGATAGAAGATAGAAGATGGTGACTGAAGTTGCATTTAAAGTTTTGAAGATTGTAGTCATCAGGGAAGCAAGTAAATTGAAAGGAGTTTCACAGTCAGGAAGTGTGAGAAAAGAAACTGCTGGAGTAAAAGTGGCTGTTGCAATTAGCTACTTCAATAGTACATGGGTGGCACACTTAAATTCATGCAGTTGGGGTACCAGAGAAAAAAAAGTTCATCAAAGTAGTTGCCATGAAAATATTTGTAGAAAAGACTGAGGGAAGCCATGTCACGTCAGTGAGAAAGTGACTGAAGTTGAAATCCCAAGTCAGGATCAGTTACATTACATATTATTCTTTGGATTTTATCAAGAACTTTGAGATGAATAGCAGGAGCACCAGACCAGATATGGCAACAATATTGATTGCATGGACAAATGGTAGATTTGTAAATGTACAAGATGGACTCTGGCAAGAAAAAATTTCTGGCATGACACAGTAACCCAACTTTGCTTGCAGTAGATGTAGACCATGTGTGTGTGTGTGTGTGTGTGTGTGTGTATCTCTCTCTCTCTCTCTCTGTGTATGGTTGAGTGATTAAAGCATTAACACTTTGATCATGAGACTTGACTTTGAATCCCACTGTAGTTGATGACAATATCAGTTTTGTCAGATGATCCCAGGATGTGCCAATGTTGGGAATTGCTTGAAAACCTCATTATTGGCTGATCCAAATCTTGTAGATGAAACTGTTTCAAAGCTGTCAATGGTTGTACTAGCACAAAGTCACAAGTCATCTAGACTGAGGGTTTGAACATACTGCCCTTGTTCAACCACTGATCACACTCTGCACAGTTTTAACACAAACCACAGGTTGAATGCAGATGGGATATTAATGAAACATAAATTTACCTCCTAAGCAAGTGTCTGCAAGAGGCATTAGCTTGTTACTCAAGCAGACAAACTTGAAAATGAATAACCAGCCATTATATATATATATATATATATATATATATATATATATATATTTATTTTATTAAAGACATTTTATTTATGTTTAACGTTGTTATTTTATAGATACAATTTATTTATTAAAGACATTTTTATTTATGTTTAACGTTCTTTTTTTATAGATACAAGTATTTAAGTAAATGCTCTGTTTATAATAAACAGTATTAAATAACATTTACCGGCCTGAATGTCCGAGAAATTTTCATAGAAAATATTCGTCCTTTGACAGGATTCGAACCTGCATCCTATACGGAACCGCACTGTGCTTAAGTTCATAGTCTAGGTACCATTATAGAAAAGGAACAAGGAATCTGTTATGGTAGTGATAAAGTGACTGAAGCTGAGATGCCAGGTCAGGACCAATAACATTGCAGATTCTTCTTTGTATTTTAACAAGAACCTCTAAATATATAGTATAAGCACAAAACCTGATGTGGCAGCAATATTCAAAGCAAGAACAAATATAAACAGAACATTTTCTCACAGTTGAATTTTTAAGCAGCTGTTTTACAGATAAATACAAAAGAAAAAAATATTACTTCCTATGGTAAGACTTGAAACCCTGATAGAATCTGCATCCCACCTGACAGACATTCTTATAATGAAGCAAAAGTGATGATTTATTTATTCAAAAAAAGATGAATGGGTTCAGTTTAAAGTTCCACAGTTAAACAGCTGTCATAACCCTTGTTAGTACAAAACTGATGGAGTGAAGAAAAAAAAAAATTCTTTCTGAGCAAGCCACTCTTTACTGACCCCTAAGTGGGAGTTTCCCATCCTCAACATAGTCACCTTTGTTTTCCAGATAAGCATCACTCCCAATCAACAACTAATCAAAAAGAATAACAATACACTACGACTCCTTCTAAAAAATCAGATTTTAAATCTTTATCACATTCTGCCAAATTGTACAATGTTAATACTGTTCTGTTATTTCTTCTTAATTTTAGCAACGTGTTTGGTGTTAGTATCCATCAAACCCTTCCCAGTACCCCACCCATCAAAAACAAAGATGGCTGCCAGGGCATGGAGGGAGAAGTGGGTGATATCCCTTGAGAATGATTATTAACAGAATATCCCAGAGTACAACTTTAGGAACACCATTTGGCTTGTCATTGAATCACACAGTTTTAACACGTGTTATCTTTCTTGCTTCCTTTGTCTTCAGATTTCTTTAGATACCCCCAGCAGTCACACCCTGGACATCATCATCTTTATATGACACGTCCCTTCAAGACATAAGCGATCATGGCCATCCACAACTTCCTGTCCCTTGTAGCACTTAACAAATTTTGAATTTTTGCTATTTCTCCCAAACCCTGTTCTACCATCCATTTACTGAAGCTCTTCAAGTATATTACGCGCTGAGGTGATTATAGCCCTCCACATCTTCCTTACCCTTTTAGCACTTAATGAGTTTTGCCGTCTTGTTATTTCTCCCAAACCCTGTTCTACCATCCATTTGCTCAAGCCCATCATGTAAGTTACACACCGTTTTCCTCTTTCTCCTCTTTATCCTCTTGCTAATAACCATGCATTCTGTCTTCTTGTAGATTAAAAAATGAATAAGCATTGACAATGTATCATCTAATATTTGGTGACTGGTGAATATTAAACGATGCATTGCAAATTCTCATTATGTGTCCCAGAAATTTGCACTGCCTCTTCCTAATGTTAAATACAAGTTTCCTTTTTGTTTCCATTTTCTCTAAAATCACGTTGTTGCTCATGTATTCGGTCCATGGTATCCTCAGCATCTTTCTGTAGAACCACATTTCTGTTGCTTCAAGTCTATCACCCTAACTAATAGACACCTTGTTATGAGAACTTACCTACAACAATAATGGACTCTTCCTGACACTATAAATACTGCACCTCTCAAGAGGTATAATGAATGAATGGTGTAATGAGTCAAGACAATGTTAGTTGACTCTAAACCAGACGGACGGTCATTACTAACAACTTCTTGTACTATATTTCTGTTGTAATATATCTTTGTTATTCTACTCTGGTGTTCATGTTGTTCTTCCTTGGTTCTAACCTTGGACCATAACTGTGATGCGAGGATACTGGACCATAACACACCTGATATTAAATAGACTTTTTCTTGAATAAACCAAAATCTATTAATTTTGGTTCTTTTAACATTTGGGAATATCCAAACAGATTTAGTTTAAAGCTGGTCAAAGAGGAAATGAATGCAAAACAGTTTTTTTTCCAAGATTAAGACAGAGGTGGGGGGCACCTTCACAAAAGGAAAAAGAGGTAAAAGTTAAAATATTTGGTTTTAAATCTATAAAAGAATATAAAAAACATTTATTTCGCTATAATTAACACATAACTTCCAAGTATCTGTTTAAATTGACGGCATATTTTTTCTTTTTAAAGTCTCAAGTTTTAATGTTTATATTTCATATTTTATCATATTTTTTTTTTAATACCAACCCTCTGGCCAGATCCACTCTTCATTATTCCTATTATTTTATTACTACTTTCATTCCATCTTATTATTGATGCTTTTTATCCCAACCCTCTGGCCAGATCCACTCTTCATTATTCCTATTATTTTATTACTAGTTTCATTCCATCTTATTATTGATGCTTTTTTATCCCAACCCTCTGGCCAGATCCACTCTTCATTATTCCTATTATTTTATTACTAGTTTCATTCCATCTTATTATTGATGCTTTTTTATCCCAACCCTCTGGCCAGATCCACTCTTCATTATTCCTATTATTTTATTACTAGTTTCATTCCATCTTATTATTGATGCTTTTTATCTCAACCCTCTGGCCAGATCCACTCTTCATTATTCCTATTATTTTATTACTAGTTTCATTCCATCTTATTATTGATGCTTTTTATCCCAACCCTCTGGCCAGATCCACTCTTCATTATTCCTATTATTTTATTACTAGTTTCATTCCATCTTATTATTGATGCTTTTTATCTCAACCCTCTGGCCAGATCCACTCTTCATTATTCCTATTATTTTATTCCTAGTTTCATTCCATCTTATTATTGATGCTTTTTATCCCAACCCTCTGGCCAGATCCACTCTTCATTATTCCTATTATTTTATTACTAGTTTCATTCCATCTTATTATTGATGCTTTTTATCTCAACCCTCTGGCCAGATCCACTCTTCATTATTCCTATTATTTTATTACTAGTTTCATTCCATCTTATTATTGATGCTTTTTTATCTGAACCCTCTGGCCAGATCCACTCTTCATTATTCCTATTATTTTAATACTAGTTTCATTCCATCTTATTATTGATGCTTTTTATCCCAACCCTCTGGCCAGATCCACTCTTCATTATTCCTATTATTTTAATACTAGTTTCATTCCATCTTATTATTGATGCTTTTTATCCCAACCCTCTGGC